TTTTCCCCACTGTAGCCAACCAGATACTTCTGGGAAGTCCACAAGCAGAAAGGACGGGAGGTCAACAGAGGGACAAGCTGAATAAAAAGTACATTTTAAAAACCCCACTGTCAGAAAATGACTGTGTTTACTATCTTGCCATTCAGACATCAGGTTGTTTTGACAGTTTGCTATGAAAAGCATCATGTATGTGTGTGGTAGTTTTGGGTTGACATGCCACACTCTATTTTACAGTCTTAAGACCTTTTAGTTTGGGGAAGGAATATAAATTTTCTTGACCTTAAAATACTTATAACAAATTTTTAAAACTTCTAGGCCTGGAAAACAGAATGCAGTAATTAGTGGATAATATTATTTTTGGGGTAACTGCAGGCACCAGTTATATTTCCAACAACACTAGAGAATATTCCAGTTATGTGTTTTGTATATTGTAGGATAAGTGTGGCCAGAAACATAAAACCTAGCTGATTTCATTTAAAGCAACATCCCAAAGATGAGAAACAAAGTATTCTACATTTTACAGCTGAAGTTATTAAATTCTAAATATAAAAGTAGCATTTTTCCTATTGCTAGCATTTTATTGGTCAGTCATTACTGAACACCATCATGCACTTAAAATGATATTAAGTAAAGGTACTGAAGTTGGCAGCAAATGAAACCATGCTAGCTATAAAGCAATAAGAATCTATTTTAGATATAATAGGCCTTTCAGACCAAATAAAACTCAATATAGAACAGATAACTGTTGAACAGATTTCAGCACAATGAAAAATCTTTTATTCTTCCTGTATGGAAATAGAGGGGGGTAAAAAAATACTGAAGACTGAACCCATGAGCTCTGGGTAGGGTTGGGAATGACTGAGATGAGGCACTGACACAGGTTCCACAGAAAAACTTGATCAGGTTTCAGAAGCAGGGCATGCAGAAGACTTAAATCTGAAGTCGAGGATACTCCAAAAGAAGCTGAAACAGGAGAGGATAGGTAGATTGACTGAGACGTTTGAAGGCTGAGAAGCAGGCAAGCAAAGAGTTTGAAGTAGGCAGGTTGAAAGATGGAGGTACTAGGAAGCCAGGAAGATGAGGTCAGAATCTACTGCTGCTCTAGGAAAGATCCAAAGCTTGACTTAGACATGTATCTAGGGAAGAGCTAGCATACTTCCTGGAAGCTGGCAAGATGCTTTGATCTTCATCGGCTCACCACAGTGATAATAGAGCTCAACACAAGAGAAAACCTAATAGGTCCTGATTTGAATGCTTCTGTTATACAGCAATTTGCAATTACATATTTTATTTGTTGGTGCAATAAATAGTAATTGTTAATCAGCTCACACTTGGAAAGTCTGGAAAAAAGAATTTGAAATGTATAAATCCCAATCCCCTGTCGAAAGTCAGAATAGGAAAACCAAAGTGGTTTTTTGTGCGCTTTAATTACAGCATGCATTGCACTCTTAATTTTGGGCTTTTAAAACACAGTGAAAAAGAGGTAAGTCCAGGTTTTTCTCCATCATTATAACATTTTCTTAAGCCTTAGTTTATTGCAGTATACTCTGATGGCCTGTCCTTGTTTAGGTGCACTAAGTAGTGTTGTCATGTGATAATTTACTGATCACCCAGTTAAAAGAAGTGGGTTCAGTTTTTTGTTCCAATTCCTTCTTTTAAAGATCTGGAGAAGACAGCTTAAAATAGAAAATAATATTAGTGAAGGGACAGAAAAAAATCTAAATGGCTTTTCCACTACTGGCATAACACAGTTATAGTATGTCAGAACTATTTAATATAGGATGACGAAATAAAGCATAACCATAGGAAGGAGGGTTGTTTCAGTGTCATGCTGTGTGGGAGGTCAGTAATGTCATCCAGTGAGATCTCTGGTGCGGTTCAAAAGATGCACCATTCATGTTGTGATAGATGCACATTGTTTCAAATACCTTTTGACCTTGCAGTCACCTTATGTACAGACAGAAGTATTCCTTTGGAAGGAGTAGTTATCACCATGCTCAAAAGCTGTTCCAGAGAGTTGTTGCATCTAAAAAGGTTCTACAAGTGGCAGTTACATCCAGCCCATTGTCCTTGCAACAAAGTGCTATGAATTGTCCAAAGGGGAAATGAGCAAGCTGTAATCACGCATTGAATCTCTTTGAAACCAGTGGACCCAGGCCTCATGCTCTGGAGAGGACACTCCAGCTTCGCATACAGCGTCAAAGATATAGACATAGGCATCCTTCAGTCTAGCGAGACTATGGTAACATGCTCTGAATTGAGGAGTGTCCTCTCCAGAGCAATGTTAGTAACAGAAGCATTTTAATGGTGCATTATAATTGTGTTTCACAAAAGCTATAGTTTTTGCAATTTTTTTGTTATATTTACACTGCAGTTATTCTGTGTTATAAAGAACTCTCTCTCTTTCTCTTGGCAGTCTAGCTGTCTTAAACACAGGAAGATTTATTTCTCTTCCTAGAAAGTTCTGGGTTTTTCCCCTCTTCAAATGGTAAAAAATGTGAATATACATTTTGTGTAATTTTATTAACAGATTAGAATTGTTCTGATTCCAGGCAGACAGACAGCTGATGTCTTAAAATTAATTATGTGCCCTTATGCTTCAAGCAGATGACCTTAGCAAAAATTTTGATTATATATTTTGGATGGAAAATATTAACTCCTAATAAAATAGACTTCATTATTTTTGTATGATAAGATAAATGTCTTCAATTAATGTAACAATATTCTCTACTTTGCTTAAGCTTTGAATCTTTCCTGGGGCACACTCTTTTAAAGCAGAAAGTCCCACCCACTAGACCCAAGACACATGGCCATGCAAACCATGTGCAATGTTAGTAACAGAAGCATTTTAATGGTGCATTTTAATTGTGTTTCACAAAAACTATAGTTCTGCAATTTTTTCGTTATATTTAAACTGCAGTTATTCTGTGTTATAAAGAGCTCTCTCTTTTTGTCTTGGCAGTCTAGCTGTCTTAAACACAGGAAGATTTATTTCTCTTCCTAGAAAGTTCTGGGTTTTTCCCCTCTTCAAATGGTAAAAAATGTGAATATACATTTTGTGTAATTTTATTAACAGATTAGAATTGTTCTGATTCCAGGCAGACAGACAGCTGATGTCTTAAAATTAATTATGTGCCCTTATGCTTCAAGCAGATGACCTTAGCAAAAATTTTGATTATATATTTTGGATGGAAAATATTAACTCCTAATAAAATAGACTTCATTATTTTTGTATGATAAGATAAATGTCTTCAATTAATGTAACAATATTCTCTACTTTGCTTAAGCTTTGAATCTTGTTTCATTAACTACTACATGGAGGCAATAGTTGTACATACAAGATGTTTTCTCATAGGGTTGGTAGAGAAATAATTATTTTTAATGACCCAGAAAGGCTGAAGATGCTATTATTTAGGACTGGTGTCTTTTAATATTATCACCAGATGGGAAGCAATTATAGCTGATGAAAAGAAGATAATCTAGCACAGGAGAATGAAGGTGAGACATTTTTACAAAATTTGTGGGAGACTAAATGTAATGACTTCTGATAGATTTTGTCTTTGTCCCTTCCCATCTGTCAGGGTCAGATTTTAAATCCATTGATCTTAGGGGTTATGTTTAATTAACACAAATCTCAGCTAAGCAGATGAAACATCACTTTTTAGATATTTGAAGAAGAAAAGTTTTCTAATGTGCTTGGTGGTCCCAAAAAGTGCATAAATTGAATAAAATAACTAAATGGTTACCAAAGCAGGAAGGCATGTCTTCTACACTTAAGAAATAGTTCAGTGATCGTTTCAGTTACTGTATAATGGCCACAGTACTAAAAGTGTTGTTTCCACTTGTGTACAATGCTGATCTTTGGGATGGGACCAAAATGTTTCACATATCTAGCCGGCTAAAGAACTTGGGTCTATCTTGCAAAAAAGAAAAAAGAAAAAAAAAGATGATACCTAGAAGTAGTCCAGATAGACGGGGTATAAATCAAATAAATAAATAAGTAAATAAAATTAATAGTGCATGATGTGTTAGGAAGCTTTGACATCCATAGCAGTGATTTTCAAACTGTTGCAGCAAGGCTGGTCCAGATCTTTTCAGTGGGAGAATGAATAATGGCAGACACATATATATTAATAGCATACTATGTTGTGGCATTTTAGTTGTTCCCAATTAAAAAATATACCCGACTATGCGGTGTTGCCCTTTTCCTTATGGATCAAAATGACATCCTTTGGTTTTCGTACACTTTCCTGTAAATCAGTTTCTTTATTCTTACTTTGCTGTGTAGAATGTAGCTTTGGAGAATATTCTGTATTTTGTGCATCTTGAGGTATACTTTCTATGAATGTGAGGCCAGGGGACTTAGCTAGTGTGTCCACGTAGACTGTCTTTGTTTCTTTGTACCTATGAAACACATAGATCCTGGGTGGGTAAAGTGCAGCCTCTGGATATTGTACGACTACTAGTCCTAGCATTCCCCAACATTGGTTATACTGATTAGAGCTGATGAGCAATGCAGCAACATCTAGAGCTTGGCTTGTCCTTGATGCAAAGTGTTCTGTAGCAAACTGAGTTGCCTTGAGAGAGAAATTAATGTGGAAGGGGCTGTGGTGTAGCAGGCAGGTAATTTTAAAACCCACTGTTCACAAAGATATATCATTTTGCAGAACATGATTTTTGACTAGGTATCTGACTGCTAGGTATCTGTATCTTTTTTTAAAATTGGTTCTGCAGGAGAGGGGAGATAAATGTCTTTGAAAACTGTCCTTAATACCTTCTAAAAGGCTGTGAAGTTGGGATATTTTCAACTAATTATTCTATTAAAGATGGCAAGCAAATGTGTTATGAATAGACAAAGCTGTAGGAGACCGGGAAAAAATTGCTTTTGGTGCTTTCTGTGTGACTTGAAGCTCTTCTGCTCCTGAGACAACCTGCAGTATGTATGTATATGACTGTATTCCCCAGGGAGCAATCTTTTAATGTATTATGATCCCTTCTAGGTGTTAACATCTGACTTAGACAAGAGGGAGACTCAGCAGCAAAGAATGCTGAATCAGCTGAAAGAGATACAGAACAACTACAAGGCCTGTGAGGATGAGTGCAAAGCTGCAGAACTCCAGGTGACTGAATTGGCTCAGCAACTAGAAGAGTCAACTAAGGAAGCAGAGAAGTACCTCTCTGAATTCAGACAATCTGAAGCACTCAGGCTAGAGAATGAGAAGAAGAAAGAGGAATTAAAACTGAAAGCTCAGGAATCTATTAGGCACTGGAAGCTAAGATGTAAGAAACTGGAGCATGAAATAAGAAAACAGACTGAACTTCACAACCAGTTGATGGAAAAGAACACTGTGGTATGGACCTTCTTTATTCTTTATTTTCTCTTTAAACCAACAGCTGTGATAAGCTTCCTTCTCCTTGCCAGGGTCAGGACACTTAAGAATACATATATGTAAAACATATATAGAAATTGCACACTTTAAAAACCATTTAATTGATAATAGAGCATTGAGCAGGAAGAGAAAGGAAAAGAAATGGTTTTCATCAGATACAGGTGAATAGTGCTATTCCCCACTGTGCCTACTAGGAGAAGAGCCAGCCTGTGTAGCTTTGGGCAAGCTGCACAGTCGCAGAACTGCCCCCAGAAGAAGGCAATAATAAAGAACTTCCGAGTATTCTCTACCAAGAAAACCCTGGAAAGCGTCACCATAAATCAGTTTTCACTTGATGGTGCACAATTATTATTATAGTCTAGAACATCTCCACAGGCAGCTGATGCAATGTATTTACTGTAAACAATACGCTTTTCCATTCATATTTGGAAACTTTGATTGACTTAGGATCCCCAAATGCATGTGGACAGGTGATTAAGGATGTGTATGTGCACATGTGTCTTTTCCAGATTTTGATCTGTTTCAGTAGGGCTGTCCTTAAAACAGGGTTCTGGGCTACACTGTGTGTTGCCCAGTGTCCTGTTTCCAGCAATAGCTTGCCAGAAAAGCTTAGAGAAGGCCAACAAGCCCTATTATACAGTTGCTCTGGGAAGTGTTGGTTTTTCTGCAGTCAACCCTTCACTGGGTAAAGCATTGAATTGCCATACTAGATATAGTCAGTTTGAAGAGACATATAACCAGCCACTTGGTTGCTGATTTGAATTAGTAGACAATAAAAATACAATTAGATGGCTGAATAGCTCAGTTGTTCAAGTATCTGGCTACGGAGCTAGAAGTTGTAGTTTTATTCCTTACTGTGCCTCTTGGGATAACAGCCAGCCTATGTAGCCATGGGCAAGCTGCACAATCCCAGGGTGCCCCCACAAGAAGGGAATAGTAAATCCCTTCTATGTTTTCTCTACCTAGAAAACCGTGGAAAGGGTCACTTTAAGTCACAATGAGTTTGATGGCACACAGTTATATTGTATATTGACTAATAAGGTTTTACAAAAGAAATTAATAATGTGCAAAAACTTTTAATTACACCTTTTGGAATTGCACAACTTCTCTAATGACAAAATAACATTTCCTGGTAACTACTGGTTCTCGGAACAACAAATTCAAAAGGATCATCTGGCGCGCTGTTTGGGATCTTTGAGGATTCTGCTCACTCCCATCCTCACCTTGTTTCATTTTTCCTTTGTCCACCATACAGTATTGAGATCTCTAGGCATTCATATTTTACAGGCTTAGAAGGCTGTGATTTTCTGAAAATGTTCTCTTAGCGGTAATCAGCAGGAAAGTTAGTATTTAGAGCAGCAATTAGCATTTTCAATTCAAAGTTCATGAATGATGTCCAGAAGCAGAAGTGACCTCCAAGACTTAAAGAAGGAGCAGTTTTGATGTGATAATATGTACGGGAAGAAAATGAGTGGTGTGAAAATAGTAGATTAGTCTTCTACCCTAGAGGTGAAAACACAAAGGAAGGGTAGCTATGGCAGATGGCCATCAGAAGACTGAAGATTTGAAAGCAGTAATTAAGTAGTTCATTGCTATTTGAAAACAACCAATGTATTAAAAAATGGTTTTGACAGGGGAGGACTGTTTTGTAGTCCCAAAAGGCTGAAATGTGATGCATTCCAGGGCTGAGAAGTAGGTGGAATTTCATTGCTTCTGTGCTTTATAATTAACCATGCACTTACTTCACATTCTGTCAAAAGCAAATTAGTGGTATTTAAAAATTGCCTGTCTAAATAAGATAAACGTAAAGAAGAACCATATAGCTTGAAAAAGCTCTGGTATGCTCAAACATTTCAGGGGGGAACACTCCATCTAGAATATTGACAGTGAGGACCACTGCACAGGTGGCACCATGGTGGCCTCCATGTTAGTTAGCATTCCTGATGTCCTGCTGCCTCCATTGCTGCTACATGTCAAGAATATTAATAACTAATATGTGTGCTGTAAGAATCCATGGCTAGGCAAGATAGGTGAGAAGGTTATAGGTGTAGAGGGGACAGTGTGAGTTTAACTCGAATTTAAATAACAGCTTTCAGGAAGGGGGTTGGGTGGATCAAGGGTGAGAGTGATGAGAACCTGTAGTTAAAGGTTCTACTGATTTATTTCTAATATATAATAAATGTGTAAAATCAACATTAAACCTGTAAAACTTTGGTTTATAGTTTTTATATTGGTTTACTGTGCTTTGTTGGCTGTATAGCTTAGTGGTTTAGGTAACTGACTGTGGAGCCAGAGGTTGAAAGTTCTGTTCCCCAGTATACCTTCTTGAATAAGATCCAGTCTGTGTGGTCTTGGGGTAAGCTACACAGTCCCAGGGCAATCCCAGAAAAAAGGAATGGTCAACCACTTCTATTCATTTCCTAGACAACCCTGGAATGGGTCACTATAAGTCAGAATCGATTAACTTCTGCAAACCTTACATGAACGTCAGCAGGCTTCTGGTCATTAGCTACAGAGTATTCAATGTGATCCGATCCATAGTAATTTTATATATATCTCAGTTCAATGCATTCCAGTAGGGGGAAAATTCACCAAAAGCTAACGAAGACTCAGAACAAAGCCAAATTAAGTTTGCAAATGTTTTACAAGGTGCACTAACGATTCCAAGCATTTAAAACAGGTTTCAAACATTTTAAGACACTTTTAAATTAGCAAAAACATTGTTAACTGAAAATCACCCATAGAGAACATCGTTAAACGATGCGGAAAATTCCTTTTAAAAACCCATCGCTAAGCGAATACATCGTTAAACGAAGCAATCGCTAAGCGAGGCACCACTGTATGTGTATATAGATAGATAGATAGATAGATAGATAGATAGATATAGATATAGATATAGATATAGATATAGATATATAGATATATGTATATATGTATATATATAATTACCATGGATCACATTGAATACTCTCTAGCTAATGACCAGAATCCTGCTGACGTTCATGTAAGGTTTCAGAAGTTGCTGCAGCTCATTGCAACTAATTGACAAGATGCCCAGGTGTTGGTTGCAGTCACACATCTGATTGTGTATCTGAGAGGAACCATGTCAATTAACTGTGATTTGTCGTAGCAAAGTATACAACCCTGATGTGCGCACTACGAGGCTTTTGATTAGTCAGTCAGTGAAGCAAGTGAGCAAGCAAGCATATTAATTATTTAATTAATTAATTCCTCTCCTGCTTAAACTGCTTCTAAACTGAACATGTCTCAAATAAATAATGAAGAGATTTTCAAGAAATGGAAAATTAATGGAAATGCTCAGTGTTTTCCAACTTTCTGCTAAGTGTGATCTTGGGCTGTTCTCCACCTTCTCACATACCAGGTGAGCAGCTTATGGCCCTTCAGACCTTGTTGGACAGGAACTCCTATCACCCAACACCACTGGCATATATTGGGTAGGCCTGATGTGAGTTGTAGTCCAATAACATCTGGAAGGCCTCATGTTATCTTCTTCTGCCATAATAGCATTTTAGACACCCTTTGGTTCTTTTTTCAACCTCTTACTGTTGAACTATAGGTTCTTAAAGAGAAGGATGACTTGAAGAGTCAGCTGCTTTCAGCTATGCACCAGATGGAAAACCTTCAGAAGGAACTGACTGATGTTCTTGAGAAGAGGGCCAAACAAGAAGAGGAGCTGCATTGTAAAGAAGTGAAGCTCAATGAAACTATATCACTACATATGGCACTTGAACAGGAGATCAGGGATGTCAGAGAAACTGCAAATAAGCTGGAGAATGAGCTGCAAAAGCAAAGTCTGACACATACTCAGATAAGAACTGATAAACAGCATTTAGAGGAAGAGCTTGCAACTATTAACATGATACATGAAAAAGACCAGGCAAGACTTCTAGATATGCAAGCTGCCATAAAAAACTTGAGTGTTATTACGGCTGAATTGACCAACCAACTGGCAGAGGAGGAAAAATCCAAGAAGGAGCTACAGAAGACCTTGGCCGAGCTTCAGAAACAACAGGAATCTAGTCAGGAAGAGATGGCTACAGTCAGTAAGCAACTGAAGTTGGAGAGAGATGTCCACAAACAAGAGCTGACCGAACTTCAATCAGAGTTGCAACGAGTGAAAAGTAAACATGACCAACGTGTTCAGGAAATGATGAACCTATTCAGCCAAGAAAAGGAAGAGGCAGATAGTCACGTTGGAATGTTGAAGGTATCTGTGTAGGGCGGTCAATCCCCCTTTCATTATTTTACTTGCATTTGTGTGTGTGGTGTGGTCATCAGAACTACTGACCAGGTGGTTTTCTCAATGTCTGTGAAACAGTTATGAAACAACAGTCAAAACAAGAGAAGCTGCGCAAATCCTTCTTGTATAGAAGTAGTACTGTATGCTGACTAATATCACAGATTGCCTTTATATGTCTTGGTCTTTGCCAGTCTTGCTTTTTCTGTGCATATTTCCATCCTCATTTTTGAGATGCTCTCAGGATATGCTGCTGTTGTGTGCCATTAAGTTGTTTTGAACTTATCGTGACTTTGTAAATTAATGAACTCCAAAAGCCCTGTTTGGGTTTTGCAAACTGAAGACCACGATTTCCTTCATACTCAGTATGTCCATTTTTCTTTTTCTACTGCCATCAACTTTTTCTAGTGTTACTGTCTTTTGTCTCTTCATATGATATCCAAAGTATGGTTGACTCAGTTTAATTATTTCAGCTTTTAATGAGAGGTCAGGCTTGATTTGACATAAAATTGACTTCTTTGTCTTTCCACATGGTATCCATTAAGCTCTCTTCCAATACCACTTTTTGAATAATTTGATCCCCCTCCTTGTAAGCTTTCTTCATTGTCCTGCTTTCACATCCATACTGATCCCTCCTTGTAAGCTTTCTTCCTGCTTTTGTCCTGCTTTCACATCCATACATTGTATTTGAAATACCATAGTATTAATGTTCCTAGCTTTGCTTTCTAGTAATATATCCATATAGATCTTTTTCAGTTCCTTCAAAACCTTTCAAATCTCTGATTTCTTGGCTGCAATCTCGACCTTCCAAATCTCAAATCTCTGATTTCTTGGCTGCAATCTCCATTTTGAGTGATGACTGAACAAAAAATTATAAAACATTTGATAGTTACGACTTCTTTATTGTCACCCTAAAGTTATTTAATTCTTCTCTAGTCATGATCTAGTCATGTCTTAATATTCAGCTGTATCCTGTTTTGGCACTTACTTCTTTAAGACTAATTAATAATCATTTCAAGTAATTGCCATTTTTTTGCCAGTAATATAGTGGCATCTGCATATCTTAAATTATAGAGCTTTCTACTATGGATTTTTGCTCTTCCTTCATCTAAATCTAAGTCAATTTAGGTAGAGGAGTAGTACAGGAATACCTGGCTACTCTAAATGAATTCAAGTCTCTAGGTCCAGACGAATTACATCCAAGGATATTAAAAGAACTGGCAGAAGTAATTTCAGCATCATAGGCAATAATATTTGAGAATTTTTGGAGAACAGGAGAAGTCCCCACAGACTGGAGGAGAGCAAATGCTGTCCCTATCTTCAAAAAGGGAAAAAAGAAGACCCAAATAATTATTGCCCAGTCAGCCTGACATCAACTCCCAGAAAAATTCTAGAGCATATAATTAAACAGACAGTTTATTATTATGTATAAAGCAATGCTGTCATCATTAAAAGTCAGGATGGGTTTTTCAAAAACAAGTCATGTCAGACTAATCTGATATCTTTTTTGATAGAGTTACAGGCTTGGTAGATGAAGGGAATGTTGTGGATGTAGCATATCTTGATTTCAATAAGGCCTTTGACAAAGTTCACCATGATATTCTTGCAAGGAAGCTAGTAAAATGTGTGCTAGACAGTGCTACTGTTTGGTGGATTTGTAATTGGTTGACTGACCAAATCCAAAGGGTGCTCACCAATGGCTTCTCTTCATCCTGGAGAGAGGTAACTAGTGGAGTGCCTCAGGGTTCGATTCTTGGCCCTGTGCTATTCAACATTGCTATCAATGACTTGGATGAAGGAATAGAGAGTACTGTATGCTGATTAAATTTGCAGATGATACAAAATTGGGAAGGGTTGCTAATTCCCCAGAGGGTAGGATTAAAATACAAAATGACCTTGACAGATTAGAGTCTTGGGCCAAAACTAACAAAATGAATTTCAGCAGGGAGAAATGTAAGGTCCTACACCTAGGCAGAAAAAATGAATTGCACAGATACAGTATAGGATGGAAGACACCTGGCTAGACAACAGTGCCTGTGAAAGGGATCTAGGAGTCTTGATAGACCACAAACTGAACATGAGTCAGCAGTGTGATGCGGCTGCCAAGAAAACCAATGCAATTCTTGGTTGCATCAATAGGAATATAGTGTCTAGATCAAGTGAAGTGATAGTACAGTGGGGTCTTGACTTAAGAACGGCTTGAGTTAAGAACATTTTGACTTAAGAACCGCTCTCATAGGAAAATATTGACTTGACTTAAGTACTTAGATTTGAGTTAAGAACTGAAAAAAAAAACCACGTGGGAGGCAGGGAAAGTGCAAAATGTGAACTTTCAGTTAACTGTTGGCCAGGGAAAAGGGTGCCTGTCTGCTTCCTCCCTCCTCCCAGCGTTTAGAGAGTGGATTGGGAGACAGTCTTCAGACTGCCTGGTACTGCCTGGACTGTATTTTCCCTGCCTTCCCTGAACCTTTCTTGACCTAAGAAAAAAAGAAACAAAATATCCCCCTCTAGTGGTCGAAGGCAGAATAGCAACTTCCCATTAGTTTCTATGGACAGAAAAGAGCAAATACGGATCAAATGGTTTTCAATGCATTCCTATGGGAAATGCAGATTTGACCTGAGAACTTTTTGACTTGAGAACCACCTTCCAATACGGATTAAGTTCTCAAGTCAAGACCCCACTGTACCGCTCTATTCTGCTTTGGTCAAACCTCACCTGGAGTATTGTGTCCAGTTCTGGCCACCTCAATTGAGGAAGGATGTTGACAACCTGGAACTTGTCTAGAGGAGGGCGACCAAAATGGTCAAAGGTCTGGAAGCCATGTCCTATGAGGAGCGGCTTAGAGAGCTGAGAATGTTTAGCCTTACAAAAAGAAGGTTAAGAAGGGACATGGTAGACATGTTTCAATATGTGAAGGGATATCATGTCGAGGAAGGGACAGGTTTGTTTTCCATGACTCCAGATACCAGGACAAGGAGCAATGGCTTCAAACTACAGGAAAAGAGATTCCACCTGAATCTCAGAAGAACTTCCTGACAGAGCTGGTCGGCAGTGGAATAGGCTGCCTCGGAGTATGGTGGAGTCTCCTTCTTTGGAGGTTTTTAAGCAGAGGCTGGATGGCCATCTGTTGCTTTGATGGAGTTCCTGCATGGCAGGGGCTTGGACTCAATGGCCCCTGTGGTCTCTTCCAACTCTGTGATTCTGTGATTCTATTGTATGTTATGTTCTGCAAATGGATTCAGCAGATAGGGAGATAAAATATACCTGTATCTGACAACTTTGTCAATGGAAAACCATTATTTTTCTCCATATTCTATCTTAACAGTAGTTTCTTGTCCAGAGTATAGGTTACATATCAGGATAAACACATGTTGTGGCACACATGTGGGTTGTTTCTTTTAAAAGATTCTACAGCTTTCATGATTCACATAAAGGCTTTTCTATAATCTGTAAAGTACAAAACCCCTTGTTGTCTGAAATTCTCGGCATATTCCTGTAGCCAACCAACATACATATGCAACATGATCTCTAATGCTTTTTCCTTCTTGGAATCCAGCTTGAACATCTGGCATTTTAGGAACTTTTATTTTCATAGTTTATATATTCTGGTTCTCTGTGATGAGGAGGAGCCAGAGGTTGTGTAGGGCCCTAAAGCTACTGGTAGACATCTTATCTGTCCACCCTCTTCGGAAATGTCATAGGCATTAGCTACATTGTTTCACGGTTCGGTATGTTCAGTTAAAGTTTTCGTTTTAAGAGAACAAATTATAGCAGATATTCTCCAGAAACCTTGCATGATGCTGTTCTACATATCCTTACTGCTCTTTCCCACCCTCAGTAATTGCAGGTATCTTTAGAGAATTTATTTGCATTTTTAACAGTGCTGGGCTAATCTCAATGGCTGCAGGAAGATATCAGACTACCAGGCAGGAAAAACTCTGTGGTATCATTATGGTTTAGAAAAGTCAAGAAACAGGGCAGCCTTATTTTCATGGTTTTTCTGGGTTTTTCAGGCTCTTTGGCCGTGTTCTGAAGGTTGTTCTTCCTGACGTTTCGCCAGTCTCTGTGGCCGGCATCTTCAGAGGACAGCACTCTGTGCTCTGGTGTACTTGGCTTGGGAGTGCAGTATTTATGGCTGTGAGATAGGCTTTTGTCTTTACCTGTAAATGTGTGATTAGTGTGTATTGTTGTGGGTGTATTGTTGTGCTAAGGGGAAGAGAATATCTGTTCCTGTGGTTGATGGGTGTCATTAGCTGGTCTTTTGTGTGTAGTGATCCCCTGTCCTTGTGGGTGGGTAGAGTTTGTTGCCCTTTTGCACGTAGTATGTTTGATAGCTGGGAGCCAAGTTTTGTTGAGCTTCATACTTTCCTCTTTTTTGTTGAAACTGTGCTTGTGGATTTCAATGGCTTCCCTGTGCAGTCTGACGTAATGATTGCTGGTGTTGTCCAGTATTGCAGTATTTTGAAATAGAATTTCATGTCCAGTTTGTTTCAGGGCATGTTCAGCTAGTGCAGATTTTTCTGGTTGTTTTAATCTGCAGTGTCTCTCATGTTCTTTGATTCTGGTGTGGATGCTTCGTTTTGTGGTTCCAATATATACCTGGCCACAACTGCAAGGTATCCGATATACTCCTGCAGTGGTGAGGGGGTCCCTTCTGTCCTTTGCTGCCTGTAACATTTGTTGTATTTTTGTGGTGGGCTTGAATACTGTTTGTAGGTGGTAGCCTTATTTTCAGTTCAATGTATGAGAATTTAAATGATAGCACTGTCAGAAATGTGTTTTCTGGGCAGTAGTATACACAAACGCGTGCACACACATATGCACAGAGAGAGAAATATTACAGCCACCCAAACAGCTTTTATGGTGTAATTTTCAATGAGATAGATGTAAATAAGACATTTCCTTCATATGAAATTATATCTAAGCTTCACTTATTAAAATGAATCAAACATGAAGTGTTGACCAAAGAGTTAGGAATTGAAATAAATCTATTTAACTTTGCTCAACAGGCAGAACTTATAGAAGAAAAAAATTTGGTAAAAGCTCATCGTCGACAGGTAGAAAAGATGAAAATTGAATGTGATAAGCTTTCAGAGGAGTTAACCCACAAAGACGAGGAAAATGCAAAATTTAGGCGAAAATGCCAGCTGATGAAACAGGAATTGGATGAAAAGGTAAAAGAAACGTTCTGATCTTGCAGGGTAATAGAGGTCATTCTTTTCAAACTGCATCTATCTTTTGACACCAACTTGCTACAAGTGACTCACTTTTAATTTGGTACTGTATGCCCTTTTCTCTTCATCCTCTCAACATTGCTTCCTTCCTTCCCAGTTCCCCCTTTATGCATTCTTCTTTCTCTATTTGAAAACAGGTAGGAAAACAATAGGATAAAAGATAACAATGCAAGTTGCCCTATGTATGACACAGCTTGGGATTTTGACACTGCAGCTGAAGACTAGGGGTATAGCAAACAGAAAACTTTTTAAAGATTTCCAAGCAACTTTAATGTATATTTGTGCCTCAAGTGTATCTTAGGTATTCTCAGTAGAGAGGTCTGTATTAATAATATTCTATGAAAGTGCTCTTAGGCTAGGTCAATTATGCGCTGATGGGAAAAGCAGTCATGATGAGAGATTTTAACTGTGCCAGCAAAATCAACCCAATGTCTAGCAGACCATCAGTTTTAGAAAATGATATGAAGAAATTTGTTGATATAATTTGATCTGTGAGGCTAAGGAGGCTGTCAAGAAACTGGAAAATGAGGGGATGATGGTTTCAGTTGCCTTTGAAATGCAGGCTTGTTAGCTTGTGCTGCGGTGGGTAGGCCAGAAGAGACTATGAAAAATTGCCTGTTAATTGGAAGGTTTTGCCAGCTGTGTTTTATCACTGTGGGAAGGAATTTCCAAGGCTGAAGCCTATTCCTGGTACCAACTAATTAAGAAAATTGGTTTCAGCTGAAAGGAAGGGAAGGGGACAGAGTTAATTTGGAAAAACTTACTGTCTTCAAGCAGATTCAATGAAACTCAGAGACTGATTTGTAAATTCCCTCAAAAGGTCTAGAAATGTGGATGATGGGTGTAAAATGAGTGAGTTTGCTTAGTTTAGACAAGTTTTTCTTAGGAGAACATGCTCACCTGCTGCTTTGTTATCTCATTGTATTCTGCACATGTCCTAGAACCATGTTGAAGTTCTGCTGTATTGTAAGTAGTAGCATAGGATAGCTAGCTTTCTTATTTTCTGTGGGAACTGTTCTGAAATGCTTTGCCTAAAAATATTTTTAAAATGTTATTTTGCTCTATATCTTTTTTGAACTCCATTTGGAAATTTTGAAACTACTTTTTGAACTTTATTCTTTTGACTTCTTTTCACCACACTTACAATAGACCTAATACATTTTACAGTAGTTTGGTTCTTTTGAGAATAGAGGATTTGCATGCTAAAGAAAGGTCTTACTTTGACCACTTAGTAGATCCATACATTTTGTGTGTGTTTTGGTATTCCTACCTGGCAAAGTTGGCGTGCAAGTTGAAATTCTTGGTTCATGAAAGCTGAACCTTATACATTTTGGTAACTCCCTGGAGCCCTGAGGAATCTGAATGACTCAAGGTGAGGGAGGGGTACTAGATAGGAAAACTTCCCCCTAGCCATAAACACTTTCTCCCCCACCCTAAAGTTACCTGTAACAAGAAAAGTTTGGGCAGTGTTGCTCAGTGGTTTGTGTCAGCTTTTCTGTGTTGGACACAATCTTGACAGAGGCCAAGAGTGGTTCTGAGTGAGCTGCAATCCAAGAGTCTGTACAATAGATGGGCAAAGTTACTTTTTTAGACAGAGGTGCACAGAATCCTGCAGGACTAATTGCCAGAGGAAATTGACAGGGCTGATGGCTAGAGGTAATTGACTTTGCTTCTGTTAGACTCAGCTGCTGCTAGTGATCTCTGTTACTGAATTCTCTAATATAGCTCAGGTGTCACTTGCCTGGCCCCTTTCCTGCGCATTCCAGATATCTGGGCCACCATATGTACAGAAAATCTGTGCCATTAGTTCCAGCTGCGCTCTTCTGTGCCTCTAGTATGGTGAGGGGATACACCCGTTTTTAGCAGCTCCTCACACTAACCCAGAAATCACATTGTATGACTGTAGATCACTGTGTCAAGATTTCACGTGTTCTATGTAAAACTGAATAGAAAAAGATATTGAGATGGTTAATTTGTATTATGGAGAATGTTGCAACATATAGTATGAAGAGAGATATATCTGTGAAGATTCTCAGTCATCCAGGTAAGGTTATCTGGAAATCGAGTCATGGCAACTGGACTTATTTCTTATTAGTTTGAAACATTTTGCTACTCATACAAGTAGCTTCTTCAGTCTGAAGTGAGTTGATAGGAGACCCCCCTCCATGTGTTTCACTTCCCCCCTGGTCTGAACAGGCTCCTTAGATGGACAAAGGATGGGGTGGGGGAGTTAAAATCACATTTTGCAGTCCTTCTCCACCCATTATCATGGGTCATTAACAGTAATTAACAGTGTTTTTTCTGGTGTGTGTGGTCCTGATCTTTCTGGCGAAGGATGAAAGGGCAGCATGATAAATAGGAGACAGATTGTGTGTAAGGCCTCCACCCCATCTATCAAGAGAACAGAAAAACAAAGCACCTCTCTCCACCGAGGTCTGTGGCATCACAAGGTGATTTCTGCCCCTCCCCTGTGGTACCGTATCAGTGTTTTGACCCCTACATCTGGCAAACCCTGTATGAAAGGTACCAGTCTGAACAGGCTAAACGGCCCCGAACGACACCGGACCTCTCCCAGGCTGCTCCTTTTATGGACTCGAACTGCCTCCGTGCGTCCACTTCTGCCCCGGCAGTCTCGGCTCCATCTGCATGCCTTTCTGCCCCATCTAAGTTGACCTCACTACCTCAAAAGTGAGACAAAGCTCGCAAGGCTGTACCTCCACGTCCCCGCACCTCCGATGCCAGACCCGATGCCACCTCAAGACCCTTTCGAGGTCATGCCGACTCAATGACACCAAGCCCCCTTGACAGAGGGTTTCGGTCAGTGAGACTACCCTTCATCTCCAGGCTCCCCTGCATCTTCGGAGGCACAACACTCTGAGTCCTCCCATGAACCTGAGCTAGGTGAATAACTGGAAAAATTAATTGCATAAACAACCAGCTTGATGAAATTAAGGGAGCCATGTGACGGGATTACTGAGCCAATGCAGCTGGAGCCATTTGTCAGAGGAAAGAAAAGAGCCATAGACGCAAGCGGAGGAAATAAAGACCACTGTCATCTTTAATTGGCTAATTGGGAGTCCCCATCGGCTTTTCGAGGTAGGGCCAAATTGCCACTCCATTTTCTCCCACTTGCTTGCAAAGGATCCCGGGCCTGATCATTCTTTGCATGCAAACTTCCCTTTAAAGAACCCTTTATCTGAAAACTACCTCTCTTAGAAATCTCAGAGAAATTAGAAGTTCTTTTTAAAAAAATAGTTCAGAAACCCATTTTCCTGCAGGAGCTTCACCTCCGGAGCTATTTGTTAGTTGCTTTTTTTTTCAGTGCACTGTTTGAAACCCTATTTGCAAGGCGCAGGTAGATACCTTTGCTGCTGAAATTTGTGTACGAATGTCCAAAAAACGTCTTCCGAAAGTGACTTCTGAGAGTAACTAGAAAATGTTGGTCTTGGTAACGATAAATATCAGTCAAAACCAAAAGAAATATTAAAAATAAGGAAGACAAAGCATTGGGAACCAAGTCCTTCCTCTGATTGATGTGGCCCGTGAGCCCATGAGATCTGATCTCATCAATATCCATTCTCAAGCTATTTCTTTGGCCAAGTACCAGAGGATTATGGCGCGACACTCCGCTGAGGCTGCCTCTAAGACTTTGGTCACCTCCATTTCCATTCGACGCCATGCCTGGCTCAAGTCCTCCACGATCTCTGATGACAACAAGTCAAGAATCAAGAACTTGCCCTTTGATGGTGCCGGCCTGTTCAATTCAACAACCGATAACACCCTATGGAGGACTTCCATAAGAAGCGCAAGACTGCATGCTCTTATTTCTACCTCCTACCAACAACCCTTTCACTGCTCGGGCCAGTTTTACCCCAAGCAATATCAAAATCAAAGGTTCCAACCTTACAGGCAATATCACTCCCATCAAACCGACAGGTTCCTACCTGCCCCTCAGCCTTTGATGGCATTGTACCGTCCTCTAAACACTCCTCGTCAACGTCAATCCTTTCATAAAGGACAGCGAAAGGGTAAGCAATATTGACAACTACCTTTGCCTCCCCTTTCTGACATTTCTCTTTGCCTACTGAACTGTACCAGACTAGCCCCATTTTTCCATTGCTGGCAAGCCATTACATCAGACAGATGGGTTTTATCTATCATAGCATCTGGCTACCTCATAGAATTCTCTGACTTGCCTCCTTTGTGGTTCATTCGGTACACCCCCTACACCTCTGCCCTGCAGGATGAGGTTACTAAACTTCTCCAAAAAATGCCATTTTGCCAGTCCCTATTTCGAACTCACACAACGGTTTCTACTCAAAATAAATCACACCTGATCCCAAAACAAACAGCAAAGTTCTTCGGCATGGAGGTAGACTCCCTCCGCGCAAGAGCTTTTCTGCCTCCAGAAAGAATCACAAAAATGCAAAAGTTTTATTTTCATGTCTCCATTCATCCGGAACACCAAAAATTCCTCAGATTCCATTTCAACGGCACCGCCTTTCAATTCTGTGCCCTCCCATTCGGGCTCTCTACCCCCCCGGACTTTCACCAAGTGCATGGCACCGGTAGCCACCTTCCTCCACCTGCAGGGAATAAACATTTATCCCTACATTGGCGACTGGTTGATAGTGGCGACATCGTACCACGACGCCATAAAGGCACGAGACACAACTCTCCATACTCTTCAAAGTCTCAGTCTCAAAATCAACCTCAAAAAAATCACACCTGATCCCAAAACAAACAGCAAAGCTCATCGGCATGGAGGTAGACTCCCTCTGCGCAAGAGCTTTTCTGCCTCCAGAAAGAATCACAAAAATTCAAAAGGCTGTCCGCCTTTTCCAAACCCATCACTCCTTTTCGGCGCATCACGCCCAACATCTTTTAGGACTCATGGCATCGACAACGGCCGCCGTCCAATATGGCAGGCTCAAAATGAGGTCCCTGCAGGCATGGTTTCTCTCCCAGTTCAACCCAGTGACAGACCTCCCGTCCTCACTGCTGTCGGTAACACTGGAGCTAGCCTCCCAAGTCGACTGGTGGACTTGCCCAGACAACCTCCTCATCGGCAGACCTTTCTCCCCCCTGTGACCTTCCTTACAGGTCACAACCAACGCCAGCCCCACGGGATGGGGTGCCCACTGCCTTCAGCACACAGTCCATGGGCTCTGGTCAACACAAGAACTGCCACTTCACATAAACCATCTGGAACTGTTGGCGATCATCAAGGCGTTCCATGCCTTTCTTCCCCTGATCCAAGGACAGGTAGTGCAGTCGGCAACAGACAACACCACTGAACTCTTCTATGTCAACAAGCAAGGAGACACCCACTTCCCTTCTCTGCTCTACCTAGCTGTCGACCTTTGGGAGTGGTGCTATTCCAACCATGTTTTCCCTATTGCTGTCCACATTTCCACCAACGACAACACCTTGGCCAATCGGCTCAGTCGGCTTCCGACGAGAACTCACGAATGGGCCCTGAACGATGTCATATTCCAGAGGCTATGCCAATGGTGGGGCACGCCTTTAATAAACCTCTTTGCATCCGATGCCAACAAGAAATGTGCCCGATTCTGCTCCAGAGCAGGAAGGGACAGCGCCTCTCTGGGAGACGCATTCCTTATGGACTGGTCTCACGATCTTCTCTACGTATTTCCCCCTCTACCTCTCATCCAGAGCGTAATTGTCCATCTCCGGCAAGACGGCGCCAACGCGATCCTGATAGCCCCGTACTGGCCCCACCAGCCATGGTTCACTCACCTGGTCTTGATGTCGTCGGACATGCTCCGCCTTCCTTTCCACCCAGATCTCCTCTCACTCGTCGCTCAACCACAGCCTCATCCTTCACCCTG